CCCCCCCCAAGTCCATCAGAACTTTATGAAATAAAATTAAACATTAAAAAAATCCACAAAAAGATCCGACCGACTACCTGACAGGGAATCTCTGACAGCCACATCCTGGTACACGTTAGGGTTCCTCATGGAGGACTTGTAGACGAACAGAGTGATCGCCCTTGCTATGGAGGAGTTGGTCGTCTGCACCACGCTACAGTTTACGGTCAGCTGTTTGGTGATACTCTGCTCCACCACCTTAGGATTGGTCCACAGGTTCACGCCCAGGTTCCCTGGTATATGTAATAATAATAATATGATGATGATGGTAATAATAATAATAATAACAATAATAATAATAATAATAAAATAAAGCATTTGTATAGCACAAATCCCCACTCAAGAGCAAGCTCTATGCGCTTCACAATCTATACTAGTAATAATAATAATTAAAAATAACATTTGTATAGCGCAAATCCCCGCTCATCAGCAAGCTCTATGCGTTTCACAATCTATACTACTACTACTAATAATAGTAGACCTGAGAGCATTCTGAAACAAACTCAACTTCCTGCGAAGCATACAGAACGAGTAGCCATTTATAGGCGTTTAAACACTAACATACTGACAAGATCTTTCCCTGTCTATACGCAGGTACCCATTACCACCGAGGTGAAGTGAGGAAAATTCGTGTAAAGTGCCTTTCCCAAGGACACAACGTCGGGCCCGCGGCTCAAACCCCCGACCGCGCAACCTCACGATTACGAGTCCGGTAGCCTAACCACAAGGCCACTGACGCCACATGTACAGTAATAGTCGAAATTGTCTAAAGACGGCAACCAGATTTCCTGATACAATAATCGTCGAAATTGTCTAAGACGGACAGCAGATTTCCTGTTTCATGTACAAAAATAATTGTCGAAATTGTCTAATACGGACACAAGGTTTCCAGGTAAAAAGCTAAGTTGTTCCCGCATCCGATCCGGACATTGGGGATTGCCTTGTTAGTGAGACAACTTCCTGGGACTGCGGCATATTGTGGTAGAGTGGCCAGTTCCTTTCCACGCTGCCTTCACTTCCCTAACTCGAAGTCAGGTACCCATTACTGCTGGGTGGGCAGGAGGGGGCGAAAAAAATTCGTGTCCGAACCAAGGCTCGAACTCGCACCTTTCGCTTTGGAGACGAGCGCACTAAGCGCTCCGCCAGCACACCCTCAGGTTTCCAGGTACATGTACAATAATAGTCGAAAATGTCTAAGACGGCCACCCATTATTGTTGATGATTTTTGTTTTGTTTTAGTAAGATTTTACGGCGACATGAGACAGATGAAGCTCACTTGGAACGAGCTTGGAAGGATGGCCCAGGATAGAGATAAATGAAAGGAGCTTGTATGTAGCCAAAACCCTGTCAGGGGTGAAAGACATTGATGAAGAAGAAGGTTTTACGGGGCTCGTAATTTTGCATAAGGTCATATTATTATGAGCGCCATGGGGTGGATGTCAACAGAGAAGTCCAAACAGGGAATCAGACTTACTCTGCTCACCTCTCTAGCCTCAACACAACAGCACAAAGTCTGCTTGGACTATCAAGGCACCCCAGAAATAGCGGGTCACAAGAGAGTGACAAACATACAACAGTAGAGGAAAAAATGACGATCGTAAAGATGAGGGGAAAAAAAGTAGCAGTTCCCCCTATGTTGTTTCGCACAGTATGAGCATGGCATTGATAAATCATTTACAATTCTACTGTGCATAACAATGTTAATATTCCCCCTTTGGAAATAGCATAAAGACATGGGAGGAAGGGAAGCCCAGGATCCAGAAAGGTCAGGGGCGGCTCGCGGGGCAAAAAAGTGGGCGTGCACAATAATAATTCAGCTATCGCATTTTGAAGATAGTCAAGGGTATAGTAAATGAGACAGTGAGGGAGGGACTCGTGCTTTTATTTTCGTTCTTTTTACTTGTCACTTTGATTTCTAGTACTAAATTTGTTTGTTAGCTAAACTTCAATTCCGTTCATCCTGTATTGGAACTGAACACTCAAGTAGTAACTTTCACAACTCCAGTACAAAACCATTCAAAGGCACAACTTATAGAACGCTCACTTTCACCTCTCTCAGGTTAACGGTCACAGAGTCACTTAAAATAATGGCAAAACAAACGATGAACCAATCACATTTCACTTGAGCTGGGTTGCTCCGGGGCTTACATAATATTGGCAAAGAATAGCTTCGTATTCATTTTTAGACTACCTACTGTGGGCTATGTTTCGGCACTATTCGGCAGGAGCACATTTGAGATGTGCCGTCTTATTAATATTAATGTGCCGCCAAACTCGCTACGAGTGTCGTCATCGCTTGGGTTATCCCCTAGAGTGATTTATAGGTCAGGCTACTCCGTAGAATATCCTTTTCTGTTAGCTAAAGCACGTGGACTTTGGCATGGCATAGTAGATGTTTTACGGCTCTATAGACATAGAAATGACAGTTATGGCGCCAGTGAGGACCTTTCTTTTTATATAATATTTGGCTAGAGTTTGTTTCAGGCTTCTTTTATTTTATTATTGTGGGTGTTTTACGTAATAGAATATTTTTAAAAATTGGGCGGCACTGCACGGCCGTGCTCTATGGACGAACCGCGCCTGAGAAAGGTGGAAAGTGTTTGTATGTGGCCAATATCCTAGTGCAGTGTGAGAAAGGCATTGATGGTGATGATGATGATGATGATGATGATGATGATGATGATGATGATGATGATGATGAGCCTGCCAACAGTGCATCTTACCTGTAGCGGGAGTGAGGAGACAGAGGGCGAAGCACAAACCGAAAAGCAGCATCGTGGACGGTTGTCTGTGGAAGAAAGAGGAGATTTGGAAAAAACCCCCCACAAAAATAACAAACAAACAAAGACAAACAAAATCAATCAAACAAACAAACAAAACTGTGCATGTGGCGTCGGTGATCTGAGTGAAACTGCAGGGGGAAAACGATTGCAAGGAGGGGGAGGGGGGGTCGACGTTGTGTTCTTGGGAAAGGCACTATACACGTATTTTCCTCACTTCACCCAGGTGAGAATGGGTACCCGGCTATATACAGTGAAATATATTGTCAGTCTGTTAGTTTTTAGCACGGGCAATTTCGCAGTTTGTACTGTACGTATGCTTGCCGGGAAGCCGAGAATGTTTCTGAGAGTTCTAAGGTCTTTTGGGGTAATTATAGTTATGAGGTACATACTATACAGAACCTGCTGTAGATTGAGGATATGCGCTATATACATTACATTTTTTAAAAATCATGGCAAAGTTGGAACATAATATTTCGAACTTATTTACGCAAACCAGAAACACGGTTTTCACATTTAATTATGTGAGGCGTGCTGACAAGATGGGTTATTTCTGGTACTCCACGAACAGCACTTACTAAAACTAAAAAGAGATGTCAGCTGAAAACAGACACATCAAAGACAAATTTTGTAGATTTTCAATTGATAGATCTACTATTTTCTTCTCAATTTTAAGATGTTTGTTATCATTTCATATTTAATTGTGATTTTTAAAAAAATGGAACACACCCAAACCTTTAATTAATGTATAGGGAAAAAAGTCCGAGAATTCCTTCAATTTTTTCAGCACATCTCGTGCTTCATAATATCCATGTTGCTGCCAACATAATTCAAAGTCTCAAAAAAATAAAAGAAAAGAAAACAGAATTCCAAAATCTGCATAACTAACGAATAAATTATTATTCGTTTAGCCTATCCTTTTTAAAAAAGTACAATTTTTAAAAAAGAGTTGCGTCGGAAAGCGTTCGAATAACTTTGAATAAGCAGAATGAGTTAATTAAGTTTTAATTGAGCGTACGTACTCTGTTCTCAGCTGTGTGATGAAAAGTGAAATGTCTTCGTCAAAGGTGGTCTACGTCTTCCCCTCAGTGATCAGTGATGAGAAGTGGAATGTCTTCGTCAAGGGTAGTCTAGGTCCTCCCCTCAGTAACAAAAAGTGGAATGTCTTCGTCAAGGGTAGTCTCCTAGGTCCTCCCCTCAAGCTGTCTGTGGTGGGAAATGGAGCAGTTCCGAGCGAGGCACTCAAGAGTAGCCTATCTCGATCTCTCTCCCACCTGGGCGAGCGGGTCCTGGACCCCAACACTGGGGTGACTCCCCCC